TGTAGTCGAGACCCAGGATAGCGAAGTTTTATGACGTAGTAAAAATGATAACAAGACTAACAACAAAAAACTTTATTGGCACAAAACACCACAGTGTTCTCAAAGTACATGGCTGCAACGAGAGAGGCATTAAGAGCAACGGCTCATCTTCGCACGCAATTACTTTTTACGCCATTCATGTCGTGATTTGTTGAGTTCTTTTACATAAAAATGCAGCATGGTCGCCTCATAGAACTTGGTCAACTCTGTCGTGAGCGCATGTAGATGCTGGATGCCACCTAGGACATTACAAAAGTTTTCATTCACCAGCAACATCACATTCCCTGCAGAGTGTTTCGGCTGAAAAACACAGTGAAGATGTCTTAACTGCAATAAAAAGCTCCTCTGAGGGATACAACAAGCCTCCCTTATCACATATCACAGTGAACTCAGTGTTTCTGTTTTCCGTATTAGGGGCTTCCAAAAGAAGGGTCTTGCAGGGCATGCAGTCATGGCGTTCAAGAAACTTAATTTTGACCAACATAACCTGCCATATTGTGTATTAGACGGTCATCACTCTTTTGATCTATTAACTCTCTGTGCTCTGCAAGAATACTCCGAAACATGCGTTCAGCCTATACTAGGGACCCTTTTTCAATCAGATGGTCCACTGCAGAAACCATGGCTTCCAGAGCAGGAGGATCTTGTGCACTCAGGCGAGAACTATTGTTAAGGTCAACTTTCCCGGAGCGTACGGTCTCGGCAAGGTTATAAAATTACGGGCAATTCATGAGAATTAGGAACTGCGTAGGTCTAGGTTGATTGCTGGGCGCGTTCATCCGTCCGAGCGTGCGGCTGTCACAACAAGCAGGCGAAGCACCAGCGGCAGCCACTCCAGCCAGCTCCGGCGACTACAGAGATGCCACCAGCACCGGGTCTCGTCCGCTCTCGCCGCCTCCCTTCAATGCGTAGGGCGCCCCGGCTGCTGATCTCACTACCCCCTTCTAGAACACTGTAGTACTAGTGAAGGTTCGTGTCCTTTGTTGTTTGTGTGCAAGGTTAAAAGTGAGATATGTGTGAGAGTGTAAGTCGTAGGTGACAACGGAAGGTAAATTGCCGTAATGATGGGTGCACTGGGCCTCTCAGACTGATCATGGATGTATTGTCACCAGCCGCCTGCGGCGAGGTGTTGTTCCAAGCAGCATGGAACACCAGCTAATCACGATCAATTGTGCTTCAAAACAGCCTGGTCCCAACGTGAAAGGATCAACTTCTGCATCTGACACATGGCTTGACCTTGGGCAAGTCAAGTCAACGCCCGTGTCGAGTGTACTGGTAGGTTGTCAGAGCGGAGCCTCTAACACTATTGAACTTCATCGATTTACCAAATCCCGGATTACTCGCCAGTGGCCCGCAGACGCCTCGACTCATAGACGGCTACGTCACATGCACGTGATCTAAAGGTCCCGAGCCAGCCCGAGCGGTCTCGGGCCATCTACGCGCTTGATGCTGGCTGCATCCGCTGTGGCATCTGTTATGCCAGACTATGCCGTCAGCTCCCTCCATAGCTGTGACACAGGCCACTATGCCGACCCAATTCCAACCTAAACAGCAGTTAGGTAGTGAATTATACCTATTTATGTTGTGATGTAACACACTGTAAGTGAACTACTCGAGTGCGTGCGCATCGTAGACCGGTACGGTCGTTTTACCGCTGTTTTTACTAGCGAATATAACGCGTGTTTGCCCGGCCTACCGGACTACGCATATCCTCGACTTTGCTCAGAACACCGATGACCAGAACTCGGTGCGCAAACAATGCGAAATCCCGAAACATGCTAATGGCGGACAGTAAAGCAAAGAGAGAGCAAGAGCACGTCAAAAATTTCCGTGTCTGACTTTAAGGGACACTAAAATCAAACAACAATTTACGTCAGAGTGAAAGTGTAGAGGGCACTGCCAGTGTTCCTTGCAGCATGTGGCCACAAGGAGGCACTGCTCTCCACTGAGTGTATATATGGGATTCGGGGAGAAAAAAATAAAGTTCTTTTGGTGTCCGCTTGCCAGCAGTTCGCCCCATTTCTCGGCTCCCGGGCTGACCATGGTGTCAGAAGTAGGGTTACGCCGTTAATTCGACATGCTTAACGACGTGGTATCGACGCCCGCCGAAGCCAAAGTGAACAACTTTCAGGCGGGCATATCTGACCTGCGTCCTCCAGCAAACATCACTTTTTCTAACCCCGGAGAAGGGCCCACGTGGATTGCGACGTTCCAAGACTAGGCCTTCTTGGCCGCCCTGCACAATGCCAGCGGCGAGGCCCAGGTACGGACACTTCTTTACTGTATGGGACCGCAAGCCCGATCCATTCTTTAGTCCTTTGGGGTATCGGCACCGGAGACCGTTTTTTTCACATCTGTCAAAGAAAAATTGGATTCGCACTTCGTGCACCCTGTGAATGAAATATACGAAAGTCGTCGTTTTCACCGCCGCATTCAGCAGTCAGGTGAGTGTGTGAATGGCTTTTTCACGACGTTACGTAACCTGATAAAGCGCTGCAGCTACAACAGCTCGCTTGTCGAGGACAGTCTTGTTCGTGACAGATTTGTCGTGGGCATAAGTGACGAGAGGCTGTCTGATCAATTATGGCGCTGCACAAAACTTAGCGCCGAAAGAATGCTGTGCGCAAGCATCAAGCTCATGATGGTGTTTGCTCTGTGGTTATGACCTACTGCACAAAGGATGCCCCGACAAAACAAAGGTGCCTCTGCATGTCACTCCATTTTGGAAGGAAGGGGGACAGACTGAGCATGTACGACGGCATCCTTCTGCTGTACCGACGACTTGTGATTACACCAGCCTTGCGCCAGGATATTCTCGCCCTATTACGCGAAGGTCATCAGGGAGTGTGCTGTTACCAAGAACGGGCCAGGGAGACTGTTTGGTGGCCTAAATGTAACATGCATGTGGATCACACAGTGTCGCAGTGTGCTGTATGCGCCGAGACTAGAGTTCAGCGATCCGAGCCTATGTTGCCAACGGTTACACCTGAGAGGCCATGGCAGCACCGGGGCATCAATCTGTTTCAATTGAAAGGGCGCGATTACGTCCTGACTGTTGATTATTATTCCAGGTTTCTCGAAGTAGTCTCCGTTCGGTCCACCACGGCACCAGCCGTCATTTCGGCAATCAAGAGCTCTATCGCCCGTTTCGGCGTACCACACGTGGTCCAGACCGACAACGGACCGCAGTTAGGGTCACGTGAGTTTGCAGAGTTTGCACAGTCATATGGCTTCCGTCATGAGACCAGCAGTCCAAGGTATACTCAGAACAACGAAGTGGAGCGCATGGTGTGCACGGTAACAGATTGCTTCCAGAAGTCCTGACCATTACCTGGCTTTGCTCTCATACCGTGACACACCCGGTCCGAACGGCATTTCTCCGGTCCAAGCCTTGATGTGAGGGAAATTGCAAACACGTCTCCCACAGCTACCGCAACAACTAGTGCCGTCATTACCATGTCATACAAGTTTCAGGGAAAAGGATACCAGTTAGAGGGCACAGCAAGCAAAGAACTACAATCGACGTTGGGCTTCAAGCGAGCTGACCCCTCTAAGTCCTGGCGACTGGGTGTAGGTCACCGACACGTGCTGCAGTGGGGAAGTGCTTTCACAGGCCCAGAGTCCACGGTCATACCGTGTTGAGACCCCCAGAGGCGTTCTGCAGTGTAATCGTCGACACCTGGTGTCTCATTCGACAGAAACGAGTTCAGCACAACTAGCAGCTTCTCCGCCAGCCCTTCCCGAGAACTTGCAATCTGAAGCTCCACAAGAACCCGTGCAACCAGAAGTAACGCCACGGGAAACTGTGACGTGGACTCGCAGTGGTCGTATAGTGAGGCCGCCCCGACGTTTGAACTTGTGGAGACCTGCCCTATAAAATCTGAAAAAGAGAGATGTAGAGGACACTGCCAGTGTTCCTTGCAGCAAGTGGCCACAAGGAGGCACTGCTGTCCACCAATTGTATAGATAAGATTTGGAGAGAGGGAATAAAGTTCTTTTGGTGTCCACTTGCCAGCAGTCCGCCTCGTTTCTAGGCTCGGGCTGAACAGAAAGCTCACTGTATGCCAACATCTAAAACGACAATATTATCAACAACAGTACCCTGCTTACTGAAAAATTAGGGTAAATGCTCAAGAACACAATCGCCACTGTAGGACGTTTTCAAAATGATCCCGATGACATCAGACGGACCGTCTACAATTCGTCACTAGTAATCGATCTAACTGCACTAAATAAAGAACCTTCCGTGCATCAAGAGAGGCAATAAAATGCTGCTTGTTCGTTTCTGTTTGATTAACGCAAAAAAAGAACCGTCGGACGTTACTATGGGGAATGGTGCGAGTGATTCGAAAATTCAAATTTGGAGTGGTTACACGGAACAGGTGGTGCCATGTAGCGGGGCGTAGTTGTAACAATAAACGTTTGCAATCTCGAAGCCAATGGCGGGAAATTGATCAATGACCGTTGTTGCTGATGTGACTCCAGCTGCTTTCGGTCTGTCGCTACTAGCACAGTAAAGCCGGGCAACGTTGTGCACGGCAACAGTGGCGTGAGTCGGTCCCGTCACCACGCTTCTTGAGGCGGGTAACTTGAGGTGCGCCAAGCCGATTCGGATCACTAAAACGTAATTTTATTTCAAAATAGGCCCTTTCTTGGCATGAAAGTAACACTACGAAGTTTCTGGACCACTATTTCAACAATCAACGTCGGCTTAATAGTGGCCTTTAGTGTCCCTTTAAAACGGCCGCACAGGCACTGCGCCCCGTGCTGTCGGCTGCCAGCTGCCTGAAAGAATTCATTCGGATGGTCCCGGGCCGCCCGCAGGCTGCTAGGCACGCGAAAAACGAACAAGCGTCCGAGTGACCCGGACCAGTGGGCGAAGCTTCCAGTTGGTCCCCGAGAAAAATGAATGCGGTGCCGGCGTCCGGGGCCGTACGGAGCCGTCTGGCGTGTGTAAATCGATGAAGCTTGGTGAGTGCATTGGGCACGATACACGTCGTTATGAGGACACTGTTTCAAACTTTCGAGGAAGATTACAAACGTGGTTGTTAAGCTGTGCTGACTGCCTTGATAATGTTTTTTTTTTTCAGACTATACGTGGTCTCGAATGCGTGGCAAAGCTGTCAGTTGTGAATAATTACTGTTAAATCAATAGATTTCAGTCATCTAGCTTTGTTTGCTTTACTGTAATAGTCCAGCACTGTCACCTCTCTGTTGATTGATACAGTATATATACACGACACCTCGCAGGTGTTTTCGTCTTGATGTATGGAAAGATCATGGAAAGAAGTAAATCATAGGTAGTATCACTGCACATAATACCGAACCGGCCACGCTATTCTTCTTCTGAAAAGATACTGAAAAAGTCCTCAAGTGTTGTTTTGATGATGTTCTGAGGTTGTTATGTGTATGGACAAGGGGACGGGATTAGTGCCATTATAGCACCATAAAAAGACATTCGAGGGCGTCATATTGTCCTCACAGAGGCCTGCTGAGGACTTCCCGAGGTTGTGCTTGTGTTGTCTGGAATCAGGGATGAGGCATTAGAAGGAGGGGGTTGGAGGTCATTAAGCATGCTTAGATGCCTCCCCCCACCTCCTCTTCTGAATCCGCTGCTGAGCAAGACGTGAGATCGAGAGCTTTCAAACAGCAGCAAGGTCTGCTTGCTTAGTGCGAGGAGGTGGCGGAATTTTTCGACAGAAACATTCCGCGCTGCCATTGGACCACGCAGGTCACTCGCCAGAGGTGACGGCCTTGATGAAGGGGCCCGAGGTGGAGTCGAAATGCCGGACCGAGTGGACCAAGTACGGCACACACGGTCAGGTCGCGTGCGTTGAGTTCGCGGAGGTGTTCGGCGTCACCGGCGGTGGCAGCCTCGAGTACGAGTTGCTGCAAGCGTCCCAATTCGAAGTGCCCGAAAGGCTACCGTTGACCGGTCCGAAGAGCTTCACACTGGATTCAGACGACCGCTTCAAGGATTACTTCGGTAAGCGGCGTGGCTCTGGCGCAACGAGAAACACTTGTATTTTAAACAAACTGCTCTCCGTAAGATAAAAATACGCATGAAAGCTGCGACGATTTTCGGTAATGATAATTAGGGGACACTGCAAAAAATACCGTTGGAGTTGCAGATTTCAACTGACTCTTCAAGTCGCTGCATCAAGTAGCTGTATTCGAGAGCATGTTTTGCTGAAACAAGTGCATTTGTATTTTTTAGCTCAGCATTGAAAGTGGTGATGGCGCTGTTAGATACTTAGAAAACTTGACCAAGTTATGAAGGGACGTCGTGAGTGTTATTATTCTCTAACAGGAGCGCCCAAAGCAGGAATAGAGCTTTTGTCCATAATAAAGCTGGTCAACCTGCGGGCTACGCAGTGCAGATTGGCAGGCGCTCGCTCATACATGGAATAACAACAGGTCGCTTCTGCTTTGTTACGTCCCTTGTGCCGCTATCGCTGGTGGCATCACGTCGAAATTTTCTCAATAAAGCTTCACATACTGACGTTAAAGAAACTGAAGAAAAACCCGCTGACACAAGCTTGCACATTAAGCAATTTAGTGAACAATGTACGAGTGTCCCGTACTTGTTTATATTTGACAATGAGTTCCCTTTTTTTATCTGATAGGTTGATATGATAGTTGTTTGTGTTCTTTGTGCGCTTGTACGCATGCGTGAGGGCTTCAGAAGATGAGCTACGGTTTAATATCTGTCAGTTGCGAGTGTGCGCTTTTCCGTGTCCCTTCTTTCGTATTCTTTCAAGTTTTGCGCCAACGATGTTTTACACAGTTATGCACCAACTAGCCCGACAGCATACGTTATTGAGCTATCCTCAATTGTATCATACGCGTGTACCTCTAATGTGCTTAAACGCCATGTAGGCGTATATAATCGCTATAAACGCCTAAACACTATAAGCAATGTGAGCGCATCAAGCTATCATATATCACCAGGAGTTTGACGAATTGCAATATTTTCAAACTTCAGTCACGTTACACATCATTTATGCCGCAAGCAAACCGTTATGGGAGTACTGTGGTTACTGTGCTCTTCTGATGACCCCAAGGTAGGTTAATAAAGTGAATCTTCAGGCTAATTGCTTTTGCATGATAAGTACAAACTGCGCGATATTCAACCCGGGGACACAAAAGAAACGGCATGGGCAAGCGCTGTCTGTGTCTTCCCTTTTGTGACCACGTGTAGAATATGGTGGTGTTCGTACTTCAAAGTAGGTCGCGGATTCGATCCTGGCTGCGGCGGCCACATTATTCACGAAAACGTAAATGCTTGAGGTCCATGTGCTTAAATTTAGGAGCACGGAGGAAAAAAAACCCATGTTGTCAATTTCTGGAGCCCTGCAATGCCATAATTCTTATAGCTATATAGTCATAGGGTGGCTTTAGCACCAGCAATTATATTGTACCGTTGCAAGCTCCCCAGTTGATTGAAGATACACAGGCATTGTTGCAATATACTTTGGTTATAGCCCTTCTGCTGTAGTCATAGAAACAATGCAGTAGCTAGGTTCATATAGTTTCCCGCTTTTACAAGAACATTGGGCATTCGTTAAACAATTTAGTAATAACAATCGTTGCGAAGTAGCAGCCGCGAACAACAGTGTGATAATGAGGGACGTCATAGTGAAGGGTTCTGAAAATTTCAATAACTCGGTGTTCTTTGGCGTGCACGTGAATATAAGCACACGGGTCTCAAGCATTTTCGATTCCACCGAAAATGAGGTTGCCGCTAACTATTTTATGAATGCTTAAAGGTTGCATCGAATAGCATTGAAATGTTGCGCTTGAGTTACTTTCATCATTGTTGTTTCCATTTTTCAACTTAAATAAAAAATGTTGAGCTGATCATTAAGATAAGGCGCAATATCAACGTACCTTGACTATTCATTCGTCCTATGCAAAGCATGGCATGAAGTTGTCGCACTCAAAAAGTAATCCTGTCTCGTCAAAGGTGAGACAAACTCATATATAAAAAATAATACGATTCAGCGTACATTGTCCGAAGTTTTCTAAATGCCTATCAAGGTTGGGTACATAAATAGTACGCACTCACTTCAACTAACAATTGCTTGAATACACTGGCATGACTTCTGTGATTCTAGGAGTGCTTAAAAGACAAGCTAAAGAAATACAAAAGTTCAGACATACTCTTTAAGCTTTTCGCGCGCAGTTATGCCGATACCGGGTGTTTGTATAGAATTATAATAAAACAGACGAAACATGTTTTTTCGCAAGGGAAAGCACAGCCATTTTGATGTAAAATCGATTTTGGAACTTTTGGGCAAGTGTATCGTCTCAACAGTTTGAAGACATAGCTTTGTTGGCAAATCAGAACGCACTCGTTGTTACCAACGGTTCACGACCTTAATCAGTCCGTTGTATACATTAGTTTTGTATAAGCTGATCATTTACTCAAATAATTTTTACTTTTACGGGTATGTAGCAAAAAGTGTTTGTACATACGAATGAACTTTAGACACTTTGAATTCGCTAATAGTAAGCATGGGCACTATAGTAGAATTTATCGAAAACAAATAGGAATGAAGAAGGAACCATACGAACACAGCTCAATTTTCCCGTGTTTTTTTTTCTTTTTGCTCTAAAGTTTGCTATGATGTTGTACCAACTCGCCCTACAAGCCACTCTTTCAAAGTATAAGCATTCAGCGCTTAACCGGAATCTGCATATTGCAAGGTAAAGATATATTGGATTGTTTGGGTCGTGCTACAATAAATTCTTAGACACTTAGGATGGTTTTCCATCTTTAAACTTCTGCAATCTGTCCACAGACTTTATGTTGGCGGAGCAGGCGAAGATTGACTCTAACTTCCTGGAAAAGGCCAAGGGTTCGCAGGACGTAAGGCGACAACAATTTGTTTTTTTTTTCGCATCACCTTTCAGTCATCACTCATCATCATCATTCAGTGCTCTAGAGATCAATACATAGCACTGTCTGAAGGCGTATATAAAGTAGTACTTAAAAAAAAAAGTTATTTTCTTTGCCAAATCATGGCACCATGTGACATTGCTCATAATATTCAGGGTGCATCTGTGCTCGACGTGTGCAGCCAAACAAAAGGCTGCCGAAACAAGAGAACGTCTCGTCTAGAAAGCATAAAATTTCAAAATCTATGAATTTATTTTGCAAAATCTTGCAAGATGCACGAAACTTCGAAGTTATTTCAGGGTGTTCGCGATCATCGCGTCAACATCAGAAGCGCGTGACATCATTTCGCGCAGTTTAGTTTCATTTTCTTGTCACTCGGCCTTGTTGACATTGCGTCGCTTGTTTGGAGTTTCAGTTGGCTATAGAGTAAGGTTCATTTTCGCACGCCGCCGATAAGCAAGGCGCTGATGTAGGGTGAAGTGAAATGCCAGCGACGTCTTACACGCAACTGCGGCTTCATTACGTGTCGAGGTGCAATAATTAGGGGAAATCCATGTGGGTCACCTCGATCATACAAAGATAAGATATGCGAAATTAAAAAATAATGGCATTAGAAAAGGTACATATTGGAATGACCCGTCTTTTTCGTCTTGATTGTCACCTTTTATTTCATGTCCATGTGTGGTGAGTGTGACTGATCGACATTGCTTTGCCGGCAGAAGTCGTGTGTATGCACAGGTCTTTGTAATGCACATTATGGACTATTTTTACGATCCGAAAGTGCCGTTTTCCGGGCTGCATTTTCGCCCACTCACCCATTGGTAGCACAATGCTACGAGAAAAAAAGGTAAGGAAGTCGACGGGCTTGTCACTTGTCCATTAGCAACTTACATTGCAGTTTTATTTTTCTCACGCATTAATTTTGCTGTAGTCTTCATGATGGTGTGTTTGTGAGCGCCTCTCGGTGTGTCGCCTCTGTTTCGTTCAGCAGTTTCGCTCTGAGAAGTTCTGCACAAAAATAGTCATTTGGCATGTACACTTCAATTCGACATTTAATTTTCCGTGGCTCCAAAGCGTTGCACGACAGGCAAGGCTGGAGCGTTCTAAAAGAAAAAAATCTATCAAATGCGAAGCGCATACGCTGTCAGAGATGTAGAGTATTTTATTTTCGACACAAGGTTGCTGAAATGTTGCACAGTTCAAGGAACGTTTTCTTGTTTTTGCGTGTGGTGACGTTCAATTGATAAGGCCATGGATTGAAGAAGGCACCAACTCTTTTTTTGCATGTTCGTCTATTATAGCACTGTGCGTTTAGTTAGAATACAAAACAGCAATGTCACCAGCCCAATATCACAGCGCCGAAACCAATCTAAGACATTTCATTAAGTGGGATTGTTTTACGTGGCCTCACGCAAGTGTGAACAACCAGTCTGCGCACGTCACTTTGAATATGACAGTTTTCAGCTTTCGAGGTTATTGTGGGGCTGCATGAAAGACCGTCGATGACAAAACTACATGGGAACTGCTGGCTTTTTTTTTTGCTGGGTCGCGGAACGTGAAAAGTTCTCAAAACTGGAGTCGGAGTTTAGAATAACCTTAACGCTATTGGTGACCTCGCTCGCACTCAAGTTTTAGCATACAACTTTTGGGTCATTAGGTAGGGATGTGACAACCTGTAGACACGTTGGCAAGTAGACAGACTGTTCATAGGAAAACACGAAATTTTCCACAACAATCGTTCGAGAACAACTCCCTGCCAGTTTATCGATATCCTGACATTGAGCGCTCGTTTGTCAATGTCGTACCGAAGTTTTCTTAGAAATGCTTCGCTACCATTCGGCGCACTGACATGTGTACATACGAAACTAATAGAGCAGTTCACTTACGCAGTCATTCATTTCAGGTTCCGAAGGTTTTTCTACGGCGACTGCCCGATGCACCACCGTTCATAGATCAAGAACAGTTCCGAACCGGCTTGAAATACATCACGGTTATGGTCTTCAGCATTGCGTTTCTGCGCCGAGTATCAGCTATAACGCAAGAGCTGCAATCGGGAATGAAGGTGAGTCAGCTCTTACTTTTTTTCGTATACGTCTCTAGGATGCCGTTGTTTGTCTGTTTTTGTTAGCTTTGTTAAGCTGTGACGTGGAAGTGTCCATGCCACGACTGCTATACGGGTTATCGTATCCCCTGGTGAAACAAAAAAGGGCTTCTAGCTTTATTAAAGTGAAAGACTTGCATGTGTAATGACTCGAAATATCTGGCGACCGTGATCAGCACGAAAAAGGGAATATAAAACGCGTAAAAGTTGGCAAAACTCACCCGACATTCAAGTCAATGAAACGTACCACTAGTAACATGATCTAAATGTCACGTGGCAATCAACGACGCCACGACTGTCGTGATGGCATCACATCGTCTCTTGGTCAAAGGAGGACTGATTTAGGGGTAGTAGCAACACCACGTCACGTGTAGAATAAAGTTGCCACTCACCCATACCAGATTCCGTGTAGAAAGATGAGAAGCTGGTGGAAGGAGGGGGAACAGTCAGAGCCTATAGGATTTAAAATATACACACTCGTTAGCATTGCACCAAGATACTTCGATTTCTTTCGCATTCTTTAGTGCTGATATAGCGATACAGTGCTTAACTAGATACAATGGATACAGTCCTTACACTGTATCCATTATCATCTTCTTCAGTGCCTGATTACATGAGTTGTAAGTATACCTTCATTGCTGTAAATGATGTAGAGCCAACGGATGGGGCCAGGAGGGAGAAAAGCGAATATAGAAGCGGAGTATGTTTATACGAATGTAAGTTTTCACTGCTAGCTCAATAGAACTGCAGTAATTAACACTTTCGCAACATTGTTCTTGACCTGACTAGTTGGTGACGATGCATAATAGCTTACGGCGCACTCTGGGACACGGGAGGAGAAGGGACACCATGTTTCTTCGTGTGTCCCTTTTTAGTTCGTGTCTCAGTGTGCACTGTAAGGTATTATTAATAGACAGCGTCCGCAGCAGCAACACGGACGCAGCCTGCCAGCCATTTGCAATGGCAGGCCACGTCCATATGGCTTTAGTTGCGCGTCCATATGACGCGCAACTAAATCTGTCTGTTGACACTTTCGGCTGTGAAACGCAAACGTGTGGTGCAAAGCGTGCTTGCTTTCCGCCGTGGCACCTCTTGGTACTCGTCTCTTCACTGACCATAGAATAGAATAAAGCAGTTGTTAACACGCGAACACTTCCTGTGACGCAAGTAAAATTTTTAAGCAGCAGCCGAGTGAAAGGTTGCGCTGAAGTCTAACGTTCCGTGTAACGGCTGAAGTCTTGTGTTAAGGGGATGCAGCAATTCATGCGGAAGAGGTGCTCCCGCATGACATACCAGTGGTCTGTTTGCTGATTCCGGTGGACTATTTTCAGGGAAATCTTTCAAGCATTCAGTGGCCGGCTCTTACCGACACACGACGTGACAAAGGCCTCAGATCAGTGGTATAGAAATGTACAGGGAGGCGTACTATAACGCGTCCGATTAGCAACAAGACCTCCAGGTTCACAAAATAGAGCAGGACGACAATTGAGTTGTTTAAATAATGGCAGCATATCCACGGAGTGAATGATGGATAGTGGGGCGAAGCATCCGTCCGTCCATTCGTTCTTGCTTCCGTCCACCCAGGCGTGCGTCTTTGTGGCCGCCCGTGCGTCTGTTCGTGCGTCCACATGTTCATCTGTGCGTCCGTTCCTGCTTTCGTCCATGCATCCACTCCTGCGTCCGTCCATGCGTCCATCCGTCCGTGCAGCTATCCGTGCGTCCATCCGTGCATCTGTCTGTGTGTCCGTTGGTCCACCTATTCAACACTCCAAGTATCACCATCTCGCATCTTTTCATCATATATTCCGCATATAGAAGCACCGCCATTCAGCGGACATTCCAAGGACTGAACGAGAGGAGGCACACATACACTTTCTTACGGCTTGTGCGTCGTGTCTACTTCTCACCTTTAACCACCTCGAGTTCATGGTATATACTAGTTCACTGTATTCATGGCACTGTGGCCCAACGCTCGCTAAACCTTTCCAAAACCTAGAAGGTTACGCCCAGCGAGTATGACGTAGGAACCTTTTCTTGTCTTCTGTGCGTTGTTGAACAATAAAAAATTCGCAGCGTGCGCGTTAACTAAAAGCCGAATTCTCCTGTCTCTCATTCCCCCTTAGCAGCTATTGGCATGTACATTGAACACTATCTTTTATTGTTCAACAACGCACTGAAGAAATCTCTCACTGGCACTACCTTGGAGGTCAAAATGTAATATTTGTTACACACTACTACTATGGCCACGAGGGACGAACGGGTGACGCTATAAGGAACTTATGGACATATTACGTGCCACTGAAAACTTTGATTGTGGTCCGACTAATATTCGCGCCCGAGATCACACGTATGTCGACTGCTGCACCTTCCATTTCAGTGGTCTTTGGTGCGACTGTGTGCACATGGCAAAGTTGTCTGAAGCGTACAAAAGAGCTCGCTTTGAGTGCCTTCCTAATGCTGACGCAAATCTTTTGCGTTGTACTGAAACTTAATTATAATAACCCCATTACTGCAAGACAGGCGTCCATCATTTTTCTTACCCATTGTTTCATTCGTTGTCAAAAAGTCCTTAGAGCACATGTCACTCACATAAGATATCGTGTACCTCGTAATACCTTTATGATCCTTAACGTTTTGGTAGCGTTATTACGTAAATTGAGCAGATTAAGGTGCCCTTATTATCAGCAATGGAACATTGGCGTTAAAATATATAATGGATACTTGTGCACACTTTTATTGCGTTCATAGAAGTTGTGTAATGTTGGGAAGCGACACTGTGTACCTTGCAAGACGCGGTGATTGTCGCAGTGCACTCTAAAAACACAAAACGAAAAAAATTGGCAGATCCCACGTACAGTGGGAATTGGTG